TGTGTGTTTGGTTCATTTATGTTCACGAACAAGCTCGTTTATTGACTCGTTCATTTATGTTCATGAACAAGCTCCTTTTCTTTTTAAAATTTTAAATTTTAAAAGAAAATAAACGAATGATAAATGAACATGTTCGTGCTCTTTAAATGAATACGTTCGTGAACATATAATCGAACACATCCACGAACATTAAATGAACGTGTTCACGAACAATAAATAAAAACTAACACAAACACCTTCAAAAATAAATAAACGAACACTAACAAGATATTAAAAATTTAAATGAACACGAACCAATCATGAACACCTTTAAAAATAAACAAACGAACACGAATATGACCTTGTTCGTTCAAGCTCGATTCATTTACACCCTTACCTTTACTAAATGACAAATTTTAGATTTAATCCCTACATTTATTAAATTTAAAATTATAACCGTTTATTTAAATAGTAGTCAGTAAATCTGTTTAAATTTTATTGTTAGTCTATACATATACTTTTTAGACGTTCAGTAAACACTTTTTTAATAGAAATGACTAATTTTATTAAAAGGAAAACATTTAAATTTAAATGAATGTTTATAGTCATAGCACTAAATTAAACATATAAATAGAATAATTTTCTATAATGATTAGCACAAAAAACTAGTCACTTGATATCATACAAGGATTATATAAGAAAATGTTAAAAATTCAACCAAAATACTCGAACAAATATATATATATATGAATAGATCTGATTGCATCGGCAAACAAATCACAAAAAATGATAAAAACTACTGAAAGATCACCGACAAACCGCATATCAGATTCGAGTGACGTGGGAAATTATCCATGAATGCAACAACATATCACAATCCAATCCGAGGGTCCAAAACATGAAAGATCATCATGATAATAAATAAGCGTCATCTTGATCAATCGAGACGTTATCAAATTCAACCCAGAGAAAAGATTAAAATGAAAAGAAATGGCCAAATGATTGAAAACCTACCAAAAGATAAAAAAAATGTCATAAAAATAGAAAAAATGTGTCACAAAGGGAGAGTTCTTGAAAACTAAAAACCACATAAAAAATAAAGATATAATATAAAAAGTAAGGGAAAAATAAGAAACACCAACAATCAACAATCAGAGCTAAAATTAGTGTTGCAGCCAACTAAACAAAGATATAAAAGAGAAAGCATAGTAAGAAGAAGAAAAAAAACTAGGGAGAAAATCTAAATCGATAATTTTATTTATCCTTCGAATGATTTGGGTTTTTGAGTTTTTCTTAGTTAATTTATCTTCGGTAAGGATTTATTTTTCACGTTATAAATTAATAAAATTGAATTAAAAAATATGTTAAAATATAATTTTATGTTATTTAATTTAAATTAATTAATTAAGTTATCAAATATCGATTGTTATCGAAACAATTATCATTATTTTACATTTATCCATGATTTCCAAATTTTATATAGATAATAAACCATTCACGTGCATGAACTATATACATGTAGAGATTCGATTTTCAATCTTTTCAATATCTTTCTCTTCTCTGTAAAGTTTTTCAGAAATTTTCCTTTAATATCTCAAAAACTATGATTTACTCAGTAATTCCCCCTAAATCCCTGTAATTTTAACCAATCCAAGAACCCCAATAATCCATGAAAGCTGCACAAAGTTTTCAAGCTTTCAATTAAGATCAATATCCAGGTCTTCACACCATCAAAATCCCAGTAAAAATGACATAAAAACCAAAACCCAATTCATAAAACTGTTCCGGTGACCGACCAGGGAGAGATTTCTATCAGAAAATCCCACAAAAATTTCCAGGAAATGTCGACTTTGTGTGGATTGGGCTATTGGGTTCAAGGTTTCAGGTGTTTTCCATGGTTGGCTTTGAATTTCCACATGTCTCACAATCTTAAGTTCAATCCTTCAACATTGCAGCTTGTTCAGACCTCTGCTAATCTCCCCATGGTGGCTAAGCCTCTCTATGGAATCCTCGCTGACGCTTTCTATATCGAAGGTCCTCATAGAATACCTTATATTTGCATTGGAGGTCAGTCGGTGTTTTTAGTTAGTGTTTGATCATTTTACTAGCTGAAAAATGGTGTACTGAGAATCCGAGTTTCAGTTCTTGTGCAGATCATTTCATGGGGGCAATTGGCTTTGATTCAAGTTGTTCAAGTTGCAGGTCAATCACTTCCCACTCTAATGGCATGTGTTGTTCTCGGTAATCTAGGAGCATCCATTGAAGATGTCTCAAAGGATGCTCTCGTGACCGAGTATGGCCTAAAACACAGAATCAAAGGACTCCAATCATATTCTTTCATGGCCTCAGCTATTGGTGGGATCCTAGGCAACTTCCTAGGTGGATATTTCTTGCTCAAACTAAAACCTAGAACCATGTTCCTCGTTTTTTCAGCTTTGTTATCTCTTCAACTTGCAATTTCTTTATCGGAATGTATTGGTTTACCCTTATCGGAGGATCAAAATCGAATCCGAACTAGACAATCGGTTTCGGACAATATCAGAAAAAACCTGTTCGGTCTCATGATTGCCATAGGTGAAGACACCATGTTGATGCCACTAACATGGATTGTAACATCCATTGCAATGGTTCCCATCCTGTCAGGCCCAACCTTTTGCTACCACACAGTGTCTGAACCTCGATCTTTCAGTGATCGGAACGTCAAAATTGGTCAGCCAGTTAATGCTTCTTTCATTCACTGTGATCTATGACCATTACTGGAAACAAATCCCCATGAGAAAACTTGTTGGTGGGATACAATTTGTGTACGCAACTTCACTTTTGCTTGACCTCATTTTGGTAAAACAGATCAACGCGGATGTTTTTCGAATACCGAATGAAGTGTTTGCACTCTGTTTCTGTGGTTTAGCTGAAACTGTTGCACCGTTCAAGATCCTTCCTTTTACAATTTTACTGGCAACACAGTGTCCTCGAGGTTGTGAAGGGTCTTTCAGTTCCTTTTTGGCATCAATATTGTGTTTATCATCTATTGTTAGCGGATTTTGGGGCGTTGGATTGGCTGATTTGCTTGGGATAAAATCTGGGGATTATTCAAGCTTGCCTGTTGGAATTTTGATACAGTTTCTTGCAGCATTGTTGCCTTTAGGGTGGATTCATCAATTGCCAATGTCTCATCCTGTTGAAAAGGAAATCAAGAAATGTATTGAAGAAACTCAAGGGTTTGAAGAGTCGTTAGCTCAGTAAGAACCCGTGGCACGGAAGAAGGAAGTTATTCTTTCTTTGTTCGGGTTCTAGTTTAAGTTCCGAGTTCCGATTTGTTGCACCATTAAACCTCTCTCCCTGTAATTGAACATCAATAAAGTTTAATTTTTTTCCTCAATTTTCACATATGTGAAGTGTTTAAAGAAAATTCTTGTTTGAAAATAACCATCTTTGATTAAGTTGTGAATCGTATATCATACAATAATTTTATAATATGATATTTTGAATCAAAATAAGATTGGTTGAAGTAAACAAATGATCCTCTGACTATAGGGCTTTATTTTGTTGAGTTCTATTACTATTAAAAGTAACAAAAATGATCGTTCGACTATTTATATGTTCCAAACTCGTCATTTTCCTTTTAAAAAATTTACAGTCGTCTGAGTTGGACGTTAATCTATTGTCTGAAACATATTTAATAATCTAAGTTGGACAGTTCACTCCTAATTTGACCGAAAAATCATTAAAGGTAAACATGAGAACGTTGATTGATGGCATCCTACAAATTAAAAGAGATGAATTGTCATCAAACACCATTAAACCTCTCTCCCTATAATTGAACATCAATAAAGTTTTATGTTTTTTTTTCTCAATTTTCACATATATGAAGTGTTTAAAGAAAATCCTTCTTTGAAAATAACCATCTTTGATTAAGTTGTGAATTGTATATCATAATTATTTTATTTTATGATATTTTGAATCAAAATAAGATTGGCTAAAGTACACAAATGGTCCCCCGACTCTGGTTTTATTTTTTTGAGTCCCCTACTACTAAAAGTTACAAAATGATCACTCAACTATTCATATGTTCCAAATTCGTAATTTTCTTTTAAAAATTTGACAGTCATCTGAGTTGAACGTTAATCTGTTTTCTGAAATATATTTAATAATCTAAGTTGGATAATTCACTCCTAATTTGACCGGAAAATCATTAGAGGTAAACATGAGAAAGTTGATTGATGGCGTCCTATAAATTAAAAGATATGAATTGTCATCAAACACCATTAAACCTCTCTCCCTATAATTGAACATCAATAAAGTTTTATTTTTTCCTCAATTTTCACATATATGAAGTGTTAAAAAATCCTTGATTGAAAAAACGATCTTTGATTAAGTTGTGAATCATATATCATACAATAAATTTATAATATGATATTTTAAATTAAAATAAGATTGGTTAAAATACACAAATGGTTCCCCGACTATATGGTTTTATTTTATTTAGTCATCCCACTACTAAAAGTTATAAAATGATCACTCGATTATTCATATGTTCCAAACTCGTCATTTTACTTTAAAAAAATTGACAGTCATCTGAGTTGGACGATAATATGTTTTTTGTGATGTATTTAATAATCTAAGTTAGACAGTTCACATCTAATTTGACCGGAAAATCATTAGAGGCAAACATGAGAAAGCTTATTGATGGCGTCCTATAAATTAAAAGAGATGAACTTTCATCAAACACCATTAAACCTCTCTCCTTATATTTTTTTGGATAATTTGATTTTATTACCCAAAGAAAGAGCAAATACCAATACAACTGCAGAAAGCAAATCAAAAATAAACAACACCCTACAAGCAACCTAAGCAAAACAACTCAAGAAAGACAACTAAAAGAGAAGCAAACAGCAAGTAGTAAATAGCAAAACAACAAACAGAAAAATTAGAAAAGGAAAACAACCCGCAAACAACCACCACAAAGGGACCTCTCGCATGTCTACAGGCAAGAGACCAACAGATCAGAAGCAAATATCAAGCTAGCCGATGTTCCAGTCAAGGCAAAGTTGAGAATTAACCCTATCAGCTTTGTTAACGCTACAATCATGCAACTTAACGCTGACTGTCCGTTTGATAACCTCAAAGACCTCATCAATCGCCCGAAAGCAGCCTCTAAAGTGACTGAGATTACGTTCTTCCCAGACAAAGCACAGAAGACTAGTCCAAGCTAGCTTTAGAATGCATACCAGCAAGGATTTCCCCTTAAGATTACTGGCAGCCCAGACCAAGGTATCATCCCAACATAGCACCCTATAGGGAATTCTGCAAGTCTGCAAAATTTTACTCCAGAGACCAACAACAAAAATGCAATCATTAAACAGATGATCCCTGCTTTCCACACCATCACTACAAAGCTCACAACACCCATCTAACTCAATCCCCATATGGATAAGCTATCCTTAGTTGGCAAGCGATTCAAAAATCCATCCAAGCAACAATAGACATTAGGGATATGAAGAGGAAACCAAATTAAGTGTTCCCAAATGACCTTCTCTCTTGTCCCTCAATTCTCCCACACCAATAACCTTTAACCAAATTCCAGTCAACTACACTGTCAAATAAGCTAGCAGCCTCTATTCTAAGCTTAAACAGCTTCCTTAAGATCCACAGCCCAGACTTTTAAGGCCCAAACCACCTTCAGACTTCAGCAAACAGACTTGCTTCCAGCTAACTCTAGCCCTTGGCAAGTATCATCCCCTTCCAGAAGAACCGCATACAAAGTTTCTCAACCTGCCTAATGACATCACTAGGCAATACCAACTGCCTGCACCAGTAATTGGAAATACTGAATAAAACAGATTGGATAAGCTGCATTCTGCCACCATAACTCAGTCTCAGCTTGGACCACAAAGACAACTTACTTCTAATCTTATCAACCAAAGGAAGACATCTTTAGCAGTAAGTTTCCTGGTACTAATGGCACACCAAGGTACCTAACAGGGAACTTACCCAAATTAAATCCAATAGCCTGCACTCTTCTCAAAACATCCTCATGTACACCACAAGAGAACAACTCAGTTTTTCCACCATTTAACTGTAGCCCAGACAACTCATAAAAGGCCTCAAGAACACTAACAACACCCAAAATAGAAGTCTCAGCCCCATGACAAAAAATTAACAAGTCATCAGCAAAGCTGAGGTGGGTGGAGAAACACGCTTACATTTAGGGTGAAACCGGATAAGCCCATCCTTGGCAGCAATTTTAACAAGTGGGACAACACATTCATAATAAACAAAGAGATAAGGGGACAGTGGGTCACCTGTCTAATTCCCCTCCTCCCTTTAAAAAACCCACTAAACTACCATTAAATGCCACAGAATATCTAGCACCAGTGACACATGCAGAAATCCAATCCCTAAACTTTTCAGGAAGCCCCAAGGAAGCAAGAACATTCATCAAGAAGTCCCAAGAAACACAATCAAAAGCCTTTCTTAAATCAACTTTAAGGGTGCACCTAGGGGAAAGTGATCTGCGAGAGTATCCCCTAACAATCTCTTGAGCTAAGAGTGTGTTATCGACTATACTACGCCCTTTAATGAAAGAAAATTGATTTGGTAAAATCATGTCAGGGAAGTAACTAGCTAACCGTTTAACAATGATACCAGTGATGGTTTTATAGACAACCGAGCAACAAGATATGGGATGAAAGTCTTTAGCCATACCAGCTTTAGGAGTCTTAGGAACCAAGGTAATTGTTGTAGTGTTGAAAGCAGGTAGCAGAGTTCCAGACTGGAAAAAATCCCTAATAGCATCCAGAAAATCATCCTGCACAATATCCCAAGCCATCTTAAAAAAATGAGCCGTATAACCATCTGGCCCAGGGCTCTTTTCGTTACCTTGCCTGAACAAAGAATTTTTAATTTCTTCATTAGAGACCTCCTCAACTAATGAAGCAGCAGCAGCACAAGGAAGCTCATACCCCAACAGACTTTTGAGAAGATCAACACCACAGCTTTTAACCCCCAGCATCTTCAAAACCAAGCAAGTCAGTGTAAAATCTCAACATCTCAACAGACATTGCATCAAAAGAATCCAACCGAGAACTATCCTCAGCATAGAGTAATCTAATCGTGTTTCTCTTTCTTTTACTCATTACACTAGAGTGAAAAATTTTTGTATTTCTATCACCCTCTTTCAACCAATGGACTTTGGCTTTTTGCTTATAGAAAGAAGCTTCAGCCACCTCAAGCTCTTGAAGTTCATTAAAAATAATCTTCTCCTCTACAAAATGACAACCAGCTTGTGAAAGATTTGCAAGTTGCATCTTCTCAAGCTGGGCTCTTTTGGTGTTTACCCTGCTTGAAATGTCATCAAAATGACTTCTGTTGAACTCCCTAAGTCTTAACTTGAGCCTTTTCATCTTAGCAAAAAGGCAAAACATAGGAGAGCCGGACACTTCTAGCTGCCAAGACTCTTTAAAACACCTCTTGAAATCACCATGATTAGCCCAACAATTGAAAAACTTGAAAGGTTTGGGCCTGTCAGCCTGGTTGTCCTTGAAAAAAGAAATCACAGCAGGGCAATGATCAGAAACCCCCTGAGCTATAAACTCAACAAAAGAACTTGGGAAATCTTCAAGCCATCGGGAGTTAATAAGAAATCGATCCAATCAAGCCATCGGGAGTAATAATAAGAACGATCCAATTTACGTGCCAAGAAATTCTCTTCTTGTTTATTAGACCATGTGAAAAGAGGACCCACATAGGAGTGGTCAAAGATCCCCAAGGAAGACAAACAGCTCCTTCTTCCAGCTGCCTACAGAGGCACAGTCTGTCAGAACCACTGTTACTGCCATAGACTGCAGTTATAACACATCTATGGCCACCAATATCACCAACAAAAGATAAAGACTGATAAAAAACTTTCAAGACTGAGAAAGAAATATATTTCCTCCAGAAAATCCACAGTCTACCGTTGTCAGAACACTCGTGATTTGTGAAACAATTCCAATCCAAGGAATAACAATCAACCAACTTGCACACATTAACAGTCCTCACTCGAGTTTCCATAAGGCAGATAATATCTACATTCAGTTTACCCAATCTAGCAAAAACTTGCTTTTGTTTCAGGGGATTATTGAAGCCCCTAATATTCCAGAAACATATAATCATTGAGCTGGATTAGCCTCCCCTCCAACAGCTCCAACAACAGTACCCACTGACTTATCAACAAGGTCCTTCTTCTTATGCTTCATCTCATTTAAGAGGGCAGCAACACCCATGGAAGCCACGCGGGGCTTCCTACCTCCTTCTAAACCAGCAGCAGCCATCAAAACCTCAAAACGATTAGAAGAGCTAGCCAATTGCTTTTTAGCTTTATTCTTGGTCTTCTTTTTCTAAGATAAAGCTTACAAAGGAGGGAAATCCACAGTAGCAGGCTTAGCAAACCCCTCACTAGCAACTTTAGCTTCATTAATCAAGTCCACAACCAACTCATCCACCTGAGAATTTACCCAATTTTCCAGCTCCTTACCAACAGGTTGACCAGATTCCTGCAAAACCTCAATTCCACCAACAACGGGCATTTCAGAACACTTGTCCGCCCCACAACTCTCCAACCTTTCACCAGTAGGTTCATTAGCTACTTTTAATTCATTTGTACTATCAACAGCAGGGATTCCAGGATAATTAACATCCCCTTTCTTCCTCCAGACCTGAATCACAGCAGGTTGGGGCATATGCTTAGGACAAGCCTTCTCACTATGCCCAAAAACATTACATCTCAGACAGCAAGGGGGTAACCAAGGGACTACAACCCTAATCAACACAGTAAAACCATCCTGCAACACAACATCTACAAATTTTGGGATTGTATCATTCACTCCAATTTCAACGCAAACTTTTGCATACTCCAATCTAGTCCTGGACGCAGTCACAGAGTCCATAGACAAAGGCACACCCAACGCACTGGTAATATAGCTTAACCCAGTACGTGAGTAAAGCTCCAAAGGAATGTTGTAAAGTTGAACCCATACAGGAATACGAGAAAGATCAAACTCTAAACGCTTCATACTAGGTTCCCACTTCCTCAAGATTAAAGACTTATTCTGAACATGACATGTCCCATTATCCAAAACCCAGTCACGAGCAAATCCAAAGCAAAATGAGAAACAAACAAATTTCTACCTGCAAAACTGACATGTACACCTGAACTCGCAAGACCCACCTTCCACAAAATTTCCACAATACGCTTCACAGAGGATAACGGAGGAGTTGGCCCAAGAAATTGCCCTACAAGAGACAATTTCCACTCCGAGATACCCGCCTCAAGGACCTTCGAAGGCGGCTGAACCGAAGGAATCAGAGACCCTTCTCGAACAATTTAGGGGGAAAACTCCAAGGTCTGCTCAGCGGTGCTCCCAAAGAGCTTCCTCCAATCCATCAAACCAACATTCATCCTAAACAAAGAGCCAGAGAAACGCCAAGACGAGAAAAACCGATCAGAAATCAAGAGAAAACCGTCAAGAACGCACCGGAGAACTCAGATTTCGTTAGCCCTGCTAACGTGCACCCAGAGAAAACCGTAAACGTGCACCCTGATCCCCCGCTTTTTTTTTTCCTTGTTTAATCTTATTACTTCTCTCTCCTTATATTTGAACATCAATAAAGTTTTATTTTATTTTTCTCAATTTTCACATATATGAGGTGTTTAAGGAAAATATTTGTTTTAAAATAACGATCCTTGATTACGTTGTGAATCGTATATATTACAATAATTTTATATATATTTTGAATTAAAATAAGATTGGCTAAAGTACATAAATGGTCCCCCGACTATATGACTTTATTTTGTTGAGTCCCTTTACTATTAAAAGTTAAAAAATGATCACTCAACTATTCATATATTACAAACTCGTCATTTTCCTTTAAAAAATTGAAGATCGTCTTAGATAGACGTTAATCTGTTGTCTAAGATATATTTAATAATCTAAGTTGGATTGTTCACTCTTAATTTGATCGAAAAATCATTAGAGGTAAACATGAGAACGTTGATTGATTGCGTCCTATAAATCAAAAGAATAAATTGTCATCAAACACCATTAAACCTCTCTCCCTATAATTGAACAACAATAAAGTTATATTTTTTCACAATTTTCACATATACGAAGTGTTTAAGGAAAATTCTTGTTTGAAAATAACGATATTTGATTAAGCTGTGAATCACATATCGTACAATAATTATAATATGATGTTTTGAATCAAAATAAGATTGGCTAAAGTACATAAATGGTCCCTCGATTACATAGCTTTATTTTTGTTGAGTCCCTCTACTATTAAAAGTTACAATAGCACTCAATTATTCATATATTCTAAACTAGTCATTTTTTTAAAATTGACGATTATCTTAGTTGGACGTTAATCTATTGTCGTAGATATATTTAAT